ATATATATATATCATTTTGTACAGAAGAAAAAGTATCAATGTCATCTCTTGGGTAATAGCAAGAACTCTGTAAGAGTGTGAATATAATTTGTATATTTCATGCATGTGCTACAGTCCGTAGCCCTGTTGACTAGTAAATCCTTCGGTCTGACAAGAGATTCAGTATATTTTTGAAGGTACCCGCCAGGGAAATGATGTCTTACGTAACCTAATACTTTTGTAATCCAGATAACGCTTCACTCCGTGTATCCAATTTGGTGTCCAGGCTCTGGTTTTTGACGGTCATGATTAACATAAATAATCTTTAAGCCTGCCGACCGCACAATTTCCACCGCAAGCTTTCTTTTTCAAAGAAACTGGCATTAAAGTATTCTGGCATGGTATTTTGACAAGTATTCTGGGTTGGAAATTGTGTGTTGGGCACACTCAATAATGATAACCGTGTGGTGCGGGGGCAGGAGCCTCGTCACCAATTGGGACAAGCATAACACGCCAAGCTTTGACTGTGTCAAAAAAGTATCAGTTTATGTTCAGAAAACAACAGACCAATACGCAAAGGTACAAATCCTACTAGCCACAGAATGCCTATAATCTAAGATCCGTGATAAAGTATTCCAAAAAGATTACTCATCTCTTAAAATTAACAGAATTATTTTTATTAAAATTAACATTAAAATTTATTTACTTACTTATATACTTAAAATTGACATTCAAATTAACATCAAATTACTATCTAGCCCATTTTGTCCACGCTTTTTATAAAATTTCATGATGTGTGGCTTTTCCTTTGCATTATTTTTATATCTTGCTTGATCGTGTTGTACTGATCAGTATCATTGATTTCTTCTTCTTTGCAGCATAGCTGAACGTATTATCCTTTAAACAAAAAATTAAATAATTTTCATCTTGAGAACTTTCATTTCCCTCTGAATGTCGTGATTGTTTGGTCTCAGTGGGCCAACAATTTTCATTTTAATTTGGAGAAAATTTTGAACCAATGGTAGAAGTTGCCCATGGTTACGTTCCTCGAGATTCCTTCGTCCGATGCAGCCGTCATGGTAAACGAGGTATTAGGTTCACACATCCAAAACTCCTTACATCGTATTTTGCTGGTTTGCTGAACGTAAACAGGATGAAACAACAAAAAAGGAATTAGTTGCTCACCAACTGTGCGAAAGGTGCTGGAATAAATTAATTCTTGTAAGTTTCAAGAAATTTGCCCGATATGTAATGAATTGCTGCAAGTGTTGCTTGAAATTTTCGTCACGAATTAGTCTTGTTCTGACGTTATTACTTTTTTAATGGTTTAAAATCTGATTACAGACAAAACACCCTCTACATATGATTTTCTTCATCTAAAAATAACTTTCATTGGTACATGCTAGTTAATTCCACTCCAGCTAACAAAATCATTCCTATAAAGTATTAATTTCATTCACAGAAACATTTTATCACATTTTTCCTTTTTGTCCTGAAATCTATTTATCTAAATTCTGTTACTTAAATATGTAAAAATGACACATTCCTCTATGATTTTGTTAGAAATAAAGCAATTCCGCTCTTTTGAATTTTCGTTAGTAACATTTTAATTGAAACAAGAAAGATTTCTTATGAGATGGAAAGAGAGAAGCGAGAAAAAAACTGGACGTCACGATGTGCGGCGGTACTATTGCGACTAATAAAAGAACATGGATTTGAATAGATAGGATTATTACTTACGGATGTGTCATCAGAAGAACTGGAACACGTAGTAATGTTTTCTCGAAGGCAACATAGTTCACATCCACTTTTTAAACTACGCTTTCCTATCACTGAGCATGTATTTCTCCTCAAAACAGTTCTATACAATATCTACAAGATTACAGCTTTAGTTCTAATCAAGCCTTAGTTCTAATCAAACTGACACTCACGAGTACTACCGTACATCGACCCTTACTGCGTTCACAGAATTCTTGGTTACCTCTCAGTCTAACGGCGACTGTTGGTTGCTATCACTTCTGAAAATAATGTACGGAAACGAGATTGGTTATGTGTCCTTCCTCGAATTTTAACAGCTCAGTTAGCAATGGATTACGGGAACACGTCCTTCCCCTCAAAGTTCCGCTCATGCAACCACGAACTAAAGGGAAACTAATAATGCTACAGAAAGACACAGTATTTCTTGTACTAGTTACTTGTCTTATTTTTAGTAAGGTCTATCTTTTCGGTTTTGCCCCACCCACCGCCTTTTCAGTTGCTTCCTATCGGAGCAATAATGTAATTATTTAATTTTTTGCATTCCTAATAATAGAATTGAAATAAGAGTTGAAGAATATTATAGATTTCTAATCTCTGGTCCTAAATTAATATTTTCATAACAAAATTTGGATCCGTTTTTAAGAACGTCTTTTGAATGTTTCTGAAAATGCGCATTTTGAAGCTAATTTTCTCCTCAAACTCGATTTTTCGAGAAATTTAATAAAACATTATACTCAAAAATACATTGTACTCACAAATACAATAACGTAAGAGATATTCTTAGTGTGAAAACTGACATGAGATATTTTAAAAAAAACGTTAGTTTAATTTAAAAAACAAAAGAATATGTCACAATGGCATTTATTCCGTGTTACTCAGTACATTTAGCACTAACCGTACAAAAAGAAACAAATTGGAACTGTTTTTGACAAAATTGCGATTGAGCATTTCTGAAAATGTGGAATTTCGGGCGCATTTTTACAGGAAACTTGAGGTTTCTGTGTCATCTTTTAAAGCCCTTGTACTCACAAATGCCATAAATTATGAAAAATGCCCATATTTCATGCCCACGATTTTGAGTATATCTTCTTTTCAGTGTGTTAATATTGCCCATATTTCACTGAAAATTGCTCAAATGTTCAAAACGTGTACTCAATGTTAATGAAAGGACTAATTGTGAACAACAAATTTCATTTGTAGAAAAATTGCTATCTTGAATATTGTAGATGTAGGAAGACGCCGAAGAATATGCAAACTTTTGCAATTTTGAATAATCAGGGGTAACTGTGAAAATCGGACAGCTGCCATCTTCGAAAGTGTATTTTTATTCTTACTAGAAATTTAAGGAAACAATTGGAACTATTTTGAAACATGTGTGAAAATGTCTCAAGTGTTTCATGTATTCCCATGTCATTCCAAATTTTAAAGAATGTCTCATATTCGCTGAGCTTTGAGATGGGCCAGGGCGACTGTGGAATATTCATTTCGAAAAAAATGCTTTAGGCGCTAGCGTTGTTCACATATCGACGGACATAGTGACAGGCGGACGGACGTACAGATAGACGGAAGGACGTTTTGCCGTAAACCAATTTTTTGGTGTCAAGGATCCACAAAACGTAAAATCTGACTACACAACGTGTTAGAGGAACCAATTGACTGCATATTGAATCAAGATTTACCAACTTTTTCTGTACCGGATGTCCACAACACGTGTCTTTCTGTAAAACCAATCGCCGTATTTTGCCCCAGCACGCTTAACTTGCCGTCCTGGAAGATCGAAGTGGCTAATAGCGTCTTCCGACTCAGCTCTTCGGCCCAAACTCACGGCTTCGAGACCCGCCTTGATCATAGTCGTTTGTCCCTTGTCTCTCACATATCTGTTGTCGTTGAGGGCCTCGCGTGCCCGTGATCCCAGATAAGAGGAGTCGCAAGTGTGATGTGTCTAGTGTATAGTGGAATATGTGTTACATCAGGACGTAAAGGGTAACCGGCTGTCGGCAGGATATAAGCTCTAGGAGAAAAAAAATCGTAACTTTCTCTGCATTATTTGTGTTACTTCTATATACGTACGTATACGAGAAAGGAAAAATTCGATGTCACTCGGAAAGGAAATAAGCAAACCTGACGATAATAGTCTACTTTTAGAGGAAGGGTATTCTAAGAATCAGCTAAGGAACAACGAAGCGAGGATTAAATTGTCTCAAGTAACTTCGTAATAAATATTGCACAGAGACTGCTTACGTCATCTCGGGTTACAGAAGGAAAAAAGAAGAAAATTAGAGTCTGCCGTTTGCAGAGAGAATTGCATCCCATCAAAAAGCTTAGTGATAAGCGTGTTTAATTTCACATCGCTTTAAGTGAGTTTAATTTCACATTGCTGTTCTCGCATAAAATAACTCAAATTGAAATCTTTATTATATTTGTTCATTACAGGTTTGTTAACAGTATACATTTTGCTTTACACGATAATGTACGAACGGGAATCCGGTGAGATAAATATGAAAAGCAGGAATAATTAGATCGGTATAGAGGTCTGCGAGGGGATCCATTCGCTCTCTCGTATAGCCAGTGCGTAACCTCGGGTTCTACAGGTTCGGAATTGCTGA